AAAAATCTCCACACAGCCAATTAAAAAAATATCCCCCCCCTGATAAAAAAAAAAAAAAAAAAAAAAACCAAAACACCCCTCCAAAACTCATCTCAACTCTGTCCTAAAAGCGTGGCAACTATGACAACCAGTTTTGGTAAGAAACAAAAAAACGAATTTGACAAACAGAAAATGGGTACTGCAGAAGACTTGCAGAAAACTATTTAAACTATTTTAAAAGCTGGTGTACAAGTTATGGAAGGTTTATGGGTGTACGTATTGATCAGTCTACTCCCGTAGACCAGCAAAAATGTGTGAAACAATTTCTTCCCTTATTTTGTTAATTATGAATTTCTAGGCTCCACTGGTACGCCTGGTATTGTGCAAATAAAAAGGGAAATTACATCCTACACTCAACTCTGGAAAAAAAAGCCAGTTTTGAGACATACCAGAAGTATTCACCTCTTCTTCTCCTAATTTGCTAACTTAAAACAGCTGCTTCCCATTCTATACATTGCTTTAAATACCCTTTCTCCATTTCTTGTTTGAGCTTCCCAGTTGAGTATCAATCTCTTACTTGAAACACTGCTAGAAAACAGAATATTGTGACACAAATGTGGAGTATTTGCAAGCAATTAATGCAGAAACCAATGGGAATCACTCATATGCCAGAGCAATTATACACCAGTCCCAGAAGCAAGCACTGAAAAACATACTGTTTTGCCAAACTCCCTCAAAGGGCTGATTACATTTAAAAAATGAGCAAGTAACAGCAGACAAGAACCCTTCTGGGTTTAGACTTGACCACTCAGTTTGCACCTTGCTAACCACTACCGGGAGAGATTTAAACAACTGGATGACAGACGGAAGGCACAGCACCAACATCCAAGCCTCTTAAAACGGTAGTAAGCTCCAGAGCTTATTCATCCAACGTCTTGAGCTCTTCTTCTTTCTTTTTTTATTCTGCCTATAGCACTCCCCTATTGATTTTAAAGGTCTCAAAGTGTAAATTTGTGTTGTCAGAAAATTGATATAGTTTCCCAATGCTCATTTTCGTCCCTTTTTCCCAGAATTCCTGGATACTAGCAATCAATACTGTTCTAAATTCCCCTTAATGACCAATACTCCAGTTATGCTGGGGCGGGGGGAAGTTAAGGGCGGGAAGAGGGACAATTTAAGAACAGAATTTTCTGTTTCCAGTTACCGTATCTATGTACACAGAAATGACTGAAGAAGATGTTACACAAAACATGAAGGAACGCATTGTCTAGATGCAGCAGGGACAAACAAGATACCAGCAGATCTACAAAGGAGTATTGTAAGCCACAAAAAAAACAATCAGCAGCTCATTTCAGCAAATGCTCAGCTACCCAGCAATTTTACAGACATAGAACACAGTAGGATTTCACACATGATGCATATGCTTAACGTACAGGAGCCCTTCATATGAAACTTGTGTTAATGTAAGGCTGCAGTATTCATGTTCAAAAAAAAAAAAACCAAACCCAAACAAACATGGAGAACCACCCATAACGAAGTATAAACTGTGGATGAAATCACTTAATTGGCCAAACTGCAGTTACACTGAACAGTTTTTAAGGCTAGATCGGAAAATACCTGAAAGATAATCATATAGAAGCACATGAAAACCTAACTCAGGTTCAGCAATAACTGAAGAGTTTCTATAGCGAGTGTTTTTAGTATCTTAGATTTTGGCCCAGGATTCCGATATACGATCAGCTTCAACATGCAAACCTGTATTTAGAATTTCCTTTTCATATAGTTAACAACAGGTTACTTTAAGCAATGAAGAAATTGGACAAATATGTGAACCATGTACAAAAATCAAAGATTAACTGTAGCGATTACAGCGATTACTCACAATATTAACTTCTTCGTACTCAAGCTTTAAAAATCAAAACATATACATAAGAACGGAGAATATTTTGATCTTCCAACAGAAGACTGACCAGGGATCCTACAGAGCAGTTTCCCACCATCGTAAGCAGGGCTCAGACCACTTTTGCTGCTCCACTCTGTTAGGGACTCCGACAAAACAGGATTCCATAAACTGTGTCAGTACGCAGTATTTCTAATCAATGACATCTATAACAGATAGTTGACAGCTTTATTCATAGAAACACATAGTAAAAAATCCCCAACTAAGACTTAGTATTGCTTCATCAAAACGTAACAGTTTCTTCCTCTATTACAAAGAGAACAAAACCAGATCCTTAGTTTAAATGGCATAGCCATATCCATTTTTAAAGCTGATTTACTTTTTTTTCATATCCTGAAAGTATTAGACAGTCCAGTAACCAGATTTTTTTTGTTGCTGTTTGTTTAAGAAAAGCTATACTCTGCAAAGATGTTATTTAAAATTTATTTACCTTTGTGATAGGATGCTTAGATATTTGGCCTGTGGAACATTTCCATTCATTTTTAGTTCTCAAGACGTCTCAAACCCTTGCAACACAAACAGCGTGCACATGAATGGGCAGAGGGGAAACCAACAGGTTTAAACATTTAATTTTGCTTTTGAACTTTGAATAAATTTCCCCCAATTAGTTTAGAGGGCAGCATTTTATACAATTTTATATAATTAGAACACACAACACATTCTTTCTTCTGAGAAAACAAAGGAAAAAGAAAAAGTATCTCTGTATTCTCAGAAACTTTTTTTTTTAAATGTTATGTTGGTTTAGTTAATACTTATAGACACTTTGTTTCCACGATAAAAGTTCTCTTCCAAGGGTCTTCACCTGTGCCATGAAAAAAAGTTCCAGACCAAACCTTCCTTTGTGAAGCCTCAGCCCAGGGGCCACCTTTGTTCACACCTGTAAAGGAGAATTTAAAACAGAGCTAAAATAAAATTCACCCTGATCCTGAAGTCCTAAACGCTTTGTAAAGTTTATATTCTAAAACTACTGCAGTAACTTCTACTATGTGGAAACCAGTGCCACAGAACAATAAATAAAATGACTTGTCCATGCCACAGACAAAACTGAAATCCAACAGCTCTAACAGCTAAATCATAACGAGGCCCTAAACCATCACAAAAACATTAACCTGTTGCAGAATACTAGTGGTATCATACTATAAGTTACACTTTTTACCTTAAGCTAGATCCAGCTTGACCTTTCTCCCAGCTTGCACGCTCTCAACAGAACTTCTGCTTAGTTGTCAACTGCATTCATTACAGTTTATCCACAGATGACACAGGTAAAAGAAGTATCTCCATCCCACACTGCAAAATATTTTGACAAGACAGACAGTTTTCCAGCAATTCTCATCTTTTTGTTGATACTGAATATCAAGTGTTTCAAACAACTCTTAGGGATTTTTACAGCCCTGTCTTTTTCAACCACCTGAGGTGAAGGCAAGGTTAACAAGTCCACCGAAACTCCAGCGACTCCGCATGAAGGGACAAGCAGGAATCTCACTAAGCGAATGAAGCACATTTTACCTATCATCTGCTATGCCCAACAAAAACATCCCCTATGTTTGATAAAACCCGTCACAAGTACATGGAGACAAGCAAGCGTGGGGTTTCGCCACTGTCAGAACGCTAGTGGATCCAATAGCTGACGCAGATAGCAAGCCCTGCCAGGACATATCTGGCACCTCATTTCAGAAGTCTGCCTGGCAAAAGATACAGGAGAATATACCTCCTATTGGCACCACAGGCCCTGCCCCACCACTTCATCCAGCAACTGGACGTGAGTAACAGCAAGAGCAGGCTTCCGAGAGACTGCAAGGCTTCTGGTGACACTTACATTCAGAGCAGCTACAAGCATCTCCAAGGAAGCTTTCCAGAGAGGGAGTCGACCGACCCGGGATTTCTTTGCACAAGCAACGCCTCCCTGTCCTCCCTCTCTCTGCCCAGAGCTCTCAGCAGCCCATTCAGCCCGTTCACCCCAAGGGGGGGCACCCCGAGCGGTAATACCCCGCGCTGACCAAGCGCCCCCCCACCCGGCACAAGCAGCGCCCACACCCTACGCGCTCTCCCGCCGGAGCCTGCCGCGGGGACCCCGCTCAGGGCGGGCAGGGCCCGGCCGAGCGCCCCGGCAGATCAGGGCGGCTTCGCCTCCCCTCACGGCCGGCATGTGTGTAACATCAAAATCTGCCAGATGCTAAAGCAATGTGTCATTGTCATGGTTCTCATTGGGTAGAGGAAGAGTGCTGAACAGTTGTTTTTCCTGCCATTAGAGCTGTTAAAATTGTTTCTTACAGTAAATTAGTGCTTAGGTTGACATTGTTAAAAATGAACTATTTTGGTATTAAATGCTTACTACCTCCCTACATGAGCGTAGGTTAGTTTGTGTGGAGCTTCACGTGATTGCAGCAAATCATGTGTCTGCTATAGTAGGTGGCTCCTTTGGAATTTGTAGTTGTTTACATATGTGTATCTTCACAGATTATCTCAGAAGCACCTGAGGTTTCCACCAGTATATATTGGAAGGGTAAGATAATGATAGTTACATGGCTTGCAAACTAAAAATGCTGGATATAAATTGGACCAGCAATTCCAGTATCCATATCACAAACAGAATGCGTTATTCAGGGCAAGTACATTTCCTCTCAGGAAGATCACCCTAACATAAAAAGATCCTGCAGTGCTTTGGAGCCAGCACATGTGTTTGTATGGAATGGTGGGATGGTGCATGTGGTTCATGGATTCCCATCAAAGGCCTTTCCAAGAAATTTGCATGGAAGGTGATGGCATCACAGCAAACTTTTTTTCCTGTGGATTTCCTGGGTAGGAGAGAATAGAGAATAGACATCTGTTCTTTCTGTAGCTGCAAACTTTAGTGTACCTACATCTTCCATGGAGTTGCTGGCAAATATGTACCACTGCCCTTTAGCATGTCATTGTCTTCTTTAGATGCAAATTGTCTTCTCTATTCACATACATGGAAGGAAACCCTGCCCTTGAGGTGCCTACCTGTGTGTGTGTGTGTGTGTGTGGCTGTGCACCCCAATTTGGGGGGGCCGGAAGGCGCACGCGTTATGGTCTAGGGGGAAACTAGAGGCTGCTCCTGACTCTGCCGGTGTGCGATGCCTTCAAGGGGGCTCGCCGTGCATTAAATAAAAATAAGTTGGTGCTCCTCTCTTGGCGTGTTTAGTTCGCAAATATTTGTACTGGGTGCTGGGCAGGGAGAGGCAGACAGGGACTGCGAGTGAGTTGCGAATGGTTTAGTTTAAAGTGCGTCTTCATTTCTTTGCAGTGATCAGGCAAGAGAGACTGGGGAGCCATATTTGTAACTTTGTAGTCCTCATGAACGCGCCCTTTCTCTCTCTCTCCCTCTCTCCAGATGCTGAGAAGATAAAAGAAAAGAATTTTAAACCAATGCTTAGCGTTTTTGGCGATCGGGTATCGCCGCCGGTAGCGCGAGCGTTGAATAAAAAAAATATTGCAAGAAATAAACGCACTCTCCACCCCCTCCATCCCCACACACGCACAAAAAGGCTAGCTGTGTGCGTGTGCGTGTTTTTCT